GCCAATTCTGAGATTTTTTTTTTTTTTTAAAGCGTCTGTTCCGTCACCAAAGTGACGTACCGTCTTTAATTTTAATGGCCTTGAGCCAGCATTGGCTGTTTGTGTTTTCCCCTCTGTGCTCTCAGTACAGTAAGATGCAGTATGGAGCGTTTACTGGAAGCACAAATTCGCGAGTGTTTGTGTGGAGTTTGCCTGACACAAAAAAAAAAAGTATATTAGAAGTAGATTATCCTTCCATCTGTAAACAAACAATGGATCTGCTATGGATAACGGGTGGCGGTGGGTGTGTTTTTGACAAAAAATGACGAAGTTGAACAAGCTGTCCTGTCAAAAAATACTTTAACTGTCCTCTACTTGCGTAAGGGTGTTGCAGTGTTTATTGTTATTTGTGTGCTTGAGGAATTTATCTGAAAGCCGCACATCCTGTCACATTGAGTGGCTTTCTGTTGGACTGAATATCTTAACACATTAATCTGCTGCGCTATTCGAGACACTTTGGTGGCAGTGGATTAAATTTAAGGGACTGCAAAGCGTTAACGGTGATTCTAGTTAGCGTGTGATGCACAGAAATGCGACCAGCATCTATTCCAGCCATTTCTATTGAGCAGCAGTCATAACATTAGAGTGGTGTAATTACTTCACAATGCTTTGACCAAATGAGAGAGCATTTGCAAGAGGAAAAAAAAAATGCTGTTGTGAATTAATAAAATGTTGTTTTATAGTGTTTAAGTGCATATTTTTATTTAAAAACCGTCCCCGGAGGCGAGATTAAAAACCAAACTGTAGTTGCGAAGAGAACAATCGCTGGATCCCGTCCTTTATAGGTGAAGAGCCAGTTCAAAGTTCGGAAAGACGTATCAAACGCACTTCAGATTCATTCCAAACCTGTTCCAATTATCACCTTTTTTACATGGAGACACATTCTAAACTATTTCGCTCGTTCCGTGATGTTGCACCCTACAATTTCAGTCAAGGGAGAAGGAGAAATGACAAAATGTTGTGTGAAAATCTTGGCTCAACTTGTCAACAGCCTACGTGCGCTTGTTGATGATTTTTTTTTTTTTTTTAGTGACTGCTATAAAGGCAAATCAATTAAATCTTGAGACTGCGATGTGTTTTCCGCAGCTCCTCCTGATGTGTATGCGAGTTAGGCGCATTACTTACCTGTTAAGTGCTTCACAGCATTATAGAGAAACACTCAAAGGTAATAAGTGACATGGCGCTCTGAATTACTGCGATTTAATCAGCCCAGCACAACATTGTTGGCCGGAGATGAATAATTTTTTAATAATTTTTAATTGTGCACATCAAAGGGGAGCCATGACACAATGGCATTTAAGGTTTCAGAAAAGTTGGAGGTGTTGACTGATAGCGGCGTCTGTTTCGTCACATAATGTGCCTTTTTATCAAACACACCTCCAGTTATCTCCGGTCAGATTGACACTTTATCACTTCGTTATTGCTGAAAATTTTCCAGTGTCCTCACTTCGTATTTAGATCCAAACCTTAGTGTTGAACCGTGATGTGTGGAGGTTCGTGCTGAATGGATGCTTGAATGATTTCAGGGTTAAACAGTGATTGTTAAGTTTTGTTTTTTTTTAAATTTTTTACTGTTAATAGGGTGTAGCACAAAACGCACTTGATAAGTGCAAATCGGCATCAGATTAATGAAGATGCTGTATGCACAAGCATGGACATGAGCTTTTCATAATGCCCCGTGGCCCTTTTGTCTCCAGATTGAAATGTACCAAGGGCCTTGAATATATGCTTGTAGTGTGTGTTGTAAGCACTATTTGCATATTCAAGATGTACATTATTCACATGGCTGATACTGCTCCTTTCATAAGCATGCCTCTTATGTCTGTTCTCAACCCCCATCCCCCACCCTCACCATTTTAACCCCCACCCACCCCACCCCTTGATTAACTAATGTCCAATTCGATGCAGCGTATTTCATGAGCTTGTCACCTAATATAGGCAGCTGATTAACCTGGAGTCTGGCTGGTGAAGTTGCAAAACCCTGCGCCTCCCTGTCTTAATTTCTTTTCTCTCGTTTTTTTTTTTTTTTTTGCCCCCCTCTCCCTCATCCTCCCTCTCTCTCTCTCTCTCTCTCTCTCTCTTACCCCCCCCTCACCCCCCTACACACACCCCTCCTCAGTCTTTGTTGTGGCGGCAGCAGCAGAGCATGCATTGCATTGGCGGTCTGAAGCATTGTGTCTGATTTCCAGCAGACAAACTGACCTCTGGGGATTTATTGACAGCAAACTCCACAGAGGCAGACACAGAGCTGGGAGCATGGAGGCAGCCGGAGAGGGGCGGAGGGTGCTGGGGAAGGTTTCGTAGGGAGGGAGGGAGGAAGAGAAGGGAAGGGGGTGGGTGGGGGGGCACAGACGGAGAGATAGACGGATGGAAGGAAAGACGGAGAGAGAGAGAGAGAGAGAGAGAGAGAGTTTCAACGTGATGAAACAGGAAACAGGTAGAGACACGCAGCGAAAGAAATCAATATCGGGTGCGGGGGGGTTTACGCACGCCGATTTTAGTTTGATTTAAATTTTTTTTTTCTTCTTCTTCTTCTTGTATTAGCAAGTGAAAGAAAATGGCCGCCTCCTACAAGGATCTAATTAATTTTGAAGGATCATCAGCCCCTTTAGTCCAAGGCAGGGTACAGGAGGGAGGGAGGGAGGGAGACAGACCCCTGGGCTGATTAGAATTCACTGCAGGTAGGCGCTGGCTGCTGCTCACCCACTGTGTCATGGCTAAAATGGAATCACTGTTGTGAGTGGCAGTCTGGGCAACTGAAGCCTGCTTCCCTTGGCCTGCTCCTTTGTTGCCAGCATTCACCTCACTTTACCCCTTAGGCAGGTGGATTTACATGTCTGGATGGGAGAAGGGAACCCAGAGAGGGAACATATATGTTTGCATTGTCTAAACAGTAGCCACCAAAAAAAAAAAAAAAAAAAAGACCAGTGGCACTGGGATACAGTTGCATCTCAAACTAGCCCCCGCAGGAAAAGAAAAAAGGTCAAATATTTGCTACTGTAATGGATTCAAGCATTCGGGTGCATATGTGCAGGATAAAGAGAAGGCCTTAAAATGATGGCATTTCTGTTGGTTTTCACATTGACTAAACCAATTCAGCCAATTCCAGTGATGGCAGTGAGGTTAAAGGAAGGGCTTCGCTCACAGCAAGCTATAGTTTGAGGTAAAGCCAGTGTTTAAGTTGGGTGTTTGAGCAACACTCGTGTTTAGGCTTCAATTGAGGCCTGTACCAGAGCGTCTGGATGGGTTATTTTAATGGATTAACTTTGAGAGTTAAGTTTACAGCTAAGATTTTTTATTTTTTTTTATTTTTAAAGGGTTGAAGTTTAATTTTAAACGTAGGGCTGACTCAAGATTTAACGTCCAGGCCTAAACAAGAGGAACAAACATGTGCCTTTCAGTGTCAAAGAACGATCTGTTTCGCTATCAAGTGATCACCCTCTGCTGCCAAACGCGTTATTACTAGTTCACCAAATTTATTAGTTGACGAGACGATTTGAGGAAAACAAGCACACATCCTGCTGCCTCCTCTCAAAGTGAGGCCTGTGGACGCGGCTATTTCAGCGTTCACACTTCAGCTGCTTTTTTCTCTCAGAGATTCTGCTCCTGTGTGTTAAATTATAGACAAAGTCATTATGTGCCAGGCACACTTACGGCATGTTACGTTACCTTGAAGTACGAGAAGTGCATGCAGGGAAACAAAAAAGGTCACCTGCTTTACATCTCATAGTTTTCATACGTGGATTTCAACCTCAGCGTCTCAAAGTGGGAGGTGTACTCTTTGAAAATGTACTTGAGAGCCGTAAAAGAATAATTTGTGTCAACATTAATGTGCAGGTCTGGTCAAATCCTTGCCCCGTTCTGTTCATTCAGCAGCACACTGTAGTTACTGGATTTTTCCAGTTCGTGTTGTAGCAAGCGTGACTGCTCCTGAACGTCTTTTACTCCAGTTTTTAAAAAAAAAAAAAGTGTCGGATCACACTTGCAATTATGATCCGAAAACTCGAATTAATCACGAGCGCTCCCATCCCAACGCGCCGTGCCATTCCCAGATACTTTTAAGGCTTCATTTGGTCGTGATACTTGACGGCACTTGAACAATGTGCAACTAACAGAAGAGAATTTGTTTGAGAAAGGCATTTTGTGTCGGTTCGGTGCGTTTTTTTTTTTTTTTTCCCCCAGTGTGCCTGACCTTAGATGGTCCCATGAGCATGTGACCGGTTTTACATCATTTTCTTTTCTAGTTTCGTGGTCAAACGTTTGTGTGCTGAAGTGTTTGTACAGTATAAGGGCAATTGTGAAAGGCTTTCTTAGGATCTCCAAACCAGCTCATCACATGCTTAATGTTGAATGCCTTTCTTGTGTTTTTCAATGAATGCCTTGTGTGTTTAATATTTGACTCTTTTCTATTATTACTACTGCCAGTGTTGCTCTACATCTGTATTAGACGTCGTGTTGTTTAATTTGTGGGTTTAAAAAAAATGACAAAGACACACACACATATGCACACACACATACACACACACACCCGCACACCCGCACACACACACACCCACGTGGTGATTGAGACCTTTCCCAAAATATTTAGAGAGGGCCTCTGTGTAAATTTATGAAAAAATTTCGATCGTTTTTCTCGGGAAGGGTGTGGTTTTGTTGCCCAGCAGCTCAGATAACTGTTGAGAAAAGAACTGGCTCCACTGCCAGTATTATTTTCACCCTTGATTTGTAATTTGTGGTCATGTGCACACAGGAACGTCCTTTTAGTCTCGCTTTAGAAACTCTTCACACATCTGTTGCAGCCCGTTTGGTGGCAGATATTCGTGTTACTGTGGCTCCGGGTTCATTAAGGGAGTGGCAATATCGACGAGGCAAAATGTGGCATTAAGATTTGTCTTTGTCTTTTCTCCCTCTCTCTCTCTCTTCTCCCCCCCCCAACCCACCCCCTCCAAACACTGTGGCAGAGCAACACATGATTTGGACAGAGAGGACTGACAGCCTTGCCTAGCACCAGGCCTCTGATCAGCCATCTCCACCAGCAAACTGAAGCTTGACCCGCACTTCATCACCAGCCACACAAGCATCTTCGTAACAAAACGTCATCTAACTGTGAGTACCGGACGGCTCGATTCATTTTGTTTCCCCCCCTTAATGTTAAAGTAACCAAACTGGGAACAAGCGTCTGTGCTTTGTTTTAACACTTTTGTGCTGCTTCTGCACTCATTCAAGCTGATTTCTATAGTTTTCTTGTCAGTGCCCTGCTAGTGTAAAATGTATTTCTGTTCACTAGATAATTACGTTCAAATTATGAAGCGTTTCTTGACCTGCTCAACTTTTTTTTCCCACGTCGTAATGTGTTCTGTGCTATTTGACATTTTGTCATCCATTTCCTATTATTTCAGAAATGAATTTGTTACTTATTGACAGACACGGTGTAAACAAATTATCTGTAAAAATTCTGACATGGATTTGTCCATTTTACGAAACTAAAACGGAGACAGGTTCGTTGGTTTCTGGAAAGGTGCTGTGTTTAAAAATATTTCAAATAAGGTCACCTGCTTTACTTTAAAGCAAAAATAATACACTTAAGCATGTTCATAGGCAAATAATTACGTTTTCTAGCGATTCTCACAACCCACAATTCTCACGCTTAATATCTGTGTAATTTATATATAGATGGTCGTTTCTGTCGACACTTAACTGGCAAGAAATTCACCTTAAGTTATCTTACACACTGATCAGCCGGGTCATATCTAGTGTATTCCTAGATAGTTAGGAAGCGCCATCACAGTGAACACATGGCTAACAAAAGAGGCCTGTTGTCCTCTAAGCCCAGTGCACCACCTAATGGTGGTTGGAGGGATTTCAGACAGACACGCTGAATGAAAGAAACTTGGAGTAATTAGATGGGAACCATCTTAATTGTCCTTCACCGTGGCAATGTGGAATTTTTTAAACCCGCGGTTCAAGAAATAAATTAAAATTATTTCGTTCTCGTCCTAATATTTTGAGACTGGACTGAGGGAAAAATATGAAAATTACCATATCTCTGTTATTGTTTTAGGAATCCTCCAATGAACAGTCTGTTTATTATAAGGAGCAGTATTACTTATCATATATTTAAATTAATTGCACTGCTGTATCATGGTTGTTTACCTTTTCACATACAGCCTGTAAAGGTAGTTTAGAAAAAGGCAATTTTCTTGCATAAAAGGGAGTTTCTTTTTTTTTTTTTTTGTAATGCATATCCTCATAACTGCTGCATTTCATTTTGCATACTAACACAGTTGTATTACTCCTAATATATTAGGACTGTGAACCAGCAGCGACAAAGTGTTGCTGCTACATGTAGGAAAAATATTGTTGAGCTAAATGCTTCATTTTCGGCTCAGCGGTGTGTGTTTTAATCCAGTTGTGTGATGCAGTTACTGTGTGTGTGTGTCGGGAGTGTTTTCAGTCAGGTGTGTTGCTTCCCGTTTGCAGGTGACATCAGTTGCAAGGGGATGACCGAGCGCATTCATAACATCAATCTTCACAACTTCAGCAATTCTGTACTTGAGACCCTCAATGAGCAGCGCAACCGTGGGCACTTCTGTGACGTGACTGTTCGGATCCATGGAAGTATGCTGCGAGCTCACCGGTGCGTGCTGGCTGCTGGAAGCCCCTTCTTTCAGGACAAGCTACTCTTGGGCTACAGCGACATTGAGATCCCCTCTGTGGTCTCAGTGCAATCCATCCAAAAGCTGATAGACTTTATGTACAGTGGGATTCTGCGGGTATCTCAGTCAGAGGCTCTGCAGATCCTTACTGCTGCCAGCATCCTACAGATTAAGACCGTCATTGATGAGTGTACCCGCATCGTGTCCCAGAATGTGGGCCTGGCCGGGCCGGGGGGCTTCCCTGTTATACCAGGTGATTCTGGTCAGGACACTCCCCGTGGCACGCCGGAGTCTGGCACCTCTGGGCCCAGCAGTGACGCAGAGTCAGGTTATATGCAAGCAACATCACAGCAAAGTGTGGATCGTGCATACACATCACTGTACTCCTACCCTGGCCTCTCTCTGCAGAACGGAACCCGCGAGCGCCCCCTTTACATTAACCCTCTGTCAGCAAATTATGATACGACTCTCAGCACTCAGAAGGACCAGCAATCTCAAGATCCACCCTGGATGAACCGTATCCAGGAAAGATCTCAGCAGGTCGATCGCTTCATCTCGACAGCAGAGTCCACTCACTGCCGCAAGCAACCCCGACCGGTACGCATACAAACAGGGGGGATGCACATAAAGCAGGAGGCCGAAGATGAGTACAGCTGCTATGACAATATGGTGGACTGCCAAGACGACACTGACCACACTGAAGGTGTAGAGAGTGAATCCAAGGTTGAAAGTTTTGACTCAGGGGTGAGCTCCTCCATCAGTACTGAGCCAGATACCATGGAGCAGAAGCCGTACCTGACGGCCTTTGGTCGAGAGGATGGCGGGGAAGGGCAGCAAGGCGAAGGAGCTCCGATGCAGATAGTGGTCAATGACTCGTCCCCTGAGCAAGTGCAAGAAACAGAGGACGGGGACACATCCCACAGCACTAGTGACAGTAGCATGATGCAGCCCCTGCCAAACTCAGTCAAACTCAGTCCCATGTCCCAGTACATGCGCCAGGTAGAATCACACACCAGCAATCTGAGGATGCCGATCACCGTGACCAGCAATTCCCAAGTGATGGGCACTGCTGGAAGCACCTTCCTGCCCACACTCTTTCCTACACCGCCGGCTAGAGACCACAAGAATTACCTTTACCTTCCTGGCCAGCAGCAACCCCAGTTTGTGGCAGTGCCGCCCCCTGCAATGCCATCATTCCCGAACCCCATGTCGGTACCGCAAGCGCCAGCACAGCAGCAGCAGGCTGCAGGAGGAATTGGTCAGGGGGAAAAGAAGCCCTATGAATGCACTCTCTGCAGTAAAACCTTTACTGCAAAACAGAACTACGTCAAACACATGTTTGTCCATACTGGTAAGTCCAAATGTAGTTAAGACCTTTTGTAGAAGTTGAAATACTCCTGTAACTCTCTGAACCCTAACACCCACATTTGAAAGGCATGCCATCGTTAAAAACTACACATATCACATAGAAACTACAAATATCAAGAATCGTTGGCTTTCAAACTTTGCTCAGTGCAGCCATGAAGCCAAGAGTGACTCAGCTGTAGCAGGCAGTCATGTGACCAAAATTCTGAGACTTTTTGGCTGACCTGGGCTGAACTGCAGGTGGTGTTGACACAGAGCAGATAAGCCATGGCAACACAATAAAACCATATACAGTTAATTATCTATAGAATGTAGAGCCAGCATTTTTCTCCAGTATTGGCACATGGTGATCCCACTTTTATTCACGTGTGTAAAATGAATAATCAAAGAAATGTAACAGTTGTTTTCTCTATTTTACGATTAATGACATTATAACTTTGTCATACTGCAAAGAAGAAATCTGTCTGTACATGTAGCCATGGTTGTTCTGTTTCAGTAGAGGTGTGTGATTTTATACTGCAGTGACAAATGAGCCCACACTGAGTGAAAATATGACAAGAGCAAAAATGCCCACAAATTGCTTGGGGTTCAGAAGGTTAAATGATTGTATTATTCATAGTAAATGTAGGTAGTGGCTGCACTTGTAGCTCCTGACACACTATAGAAATATTTACTGTTAGTGGGTAACATGATTAACATAATCATGATGTTTAAGTCCAAGATAGACGCTTGCTCATCATCAACTAACTGCTCATGATGCTATTTTAAGATTCGTCCTAAAACTAAACGATATTAGATCACCTTCAGTAATGCTGGTATCGCAATAACGATGCATCAGTATGAAGCTGTGTCCCTTTAACATACTCTACAAGGCTACCACACAGCATTCGAGGTCAGAGGTTGTTCACACTGAGGTAAAATTAGAAAAACACATTTTCTGTCCAGTTCCAGTCTTACGCTGAAGTTTGTTTCTCCTTCAAAAAAAAAACCCCTTCTCTGCGCTTCCCTCCACAGTGAAACGAGGTTATGATTAAATGTCTGTTTTCCTTGTGTACTGTTAAATTTAATTGGCAGTAGAAATTAGTAGTATTAATTGTACACTCTCGAGGTTTCCGCATGGAACATAGTGTACAATATTAGTTTGCAGGGTGAGGCTCCACCTCACACTGTCTGAATATTTCACCAGCTGCAACTCTCACATTACTTCCATTAAATAATAAACCAGTACCTATGTTAGTAATTTAAGTTAATTACAGACTGATAAAAAAAAAAAAGAAAGAAGAAAAAAAAACAGCCTAAAAATTCTATTCATTAGGTCACAGCTCACTAGTGTCTTTGTTATCACTCGTATTTGAATTACAGTTCCAGTAGAGTGCTCATGCAGCACATCGTCTCACTGTACGTCGCTTTCTTCAAGCACCGGCAAGTCCTTATCAATCACATATTGTAGAAATCATCATCACACAGAGAAAAGAATTAAATATCACATAATTAGATGATCTTGTGGAAATTGCCTACTGAAATATCTATTATTATTTAATACAAACCATTGCTTGGCCTTAACCGCTCGGTATATGAAAGCAATACTAAACTAAATTTCCTGCTTTACTCACACAATTGCGCACAGCGGAGCGATGACATATTGAGATGGAAAATCACTGATCGATCAATCGCCTGGGCTACGTCTGAACATCCCATGGCAGCCCAGTGATGGATTATCTTTGCTAATCTTCTTTTTTTTTAAAAAAAACAAAACAAAAAAGAAAAAAAAAACATCATTGGGATTCAAAAAGCATAATATTGCACTGCTGTCCCTTTGAGATTACTATACATCAAATACACTCACATCTTTTATTTGTTTAAAAAAAAAAAAACTCAATCAAGAGGGATGTTGGCAAATGCAATATAGTGCATCTTCACAAGGCACCTTGATGCAACACACTCAAAATAGCTAAAAGACACACCAGCAGTGCTGCATGATAACATGTGCGACGGAGGCAATGTGTCATTTGCTGCAATCAAAAATCTGTCAGAGACTGTGAGGCAGTTTTTCAATGGTGTGAGTCACTGTATTACAAATATGCTGCCCGGAGCAAGACAATAAACATACTTATTATATACTGTATGTGCTGGCTCCAGGCCGCCCATGTGTAACTGACTCTGAAATCTGACCTTTGCCTGCATCAGGTCAGGGGGAAAAAGTGATAAAGTAGAAGTATAAATTACTGGCTTCATTAAATCAAAGCAGGTAGCAACACATTAATTCACTCAGTGTAGCAGAAAACAAGAGATACACAGGACTTCATTAACTTGCATGATACAACCGGCCCATTTGCGGCGTTATCAGTCTCCCTCTACCTGTTCGTTTTACGTAATTATTAATTTGTTAATATTTTACGGCCCATAATGTCAGCAGAGACAATTATGTAAAATGAGCTTACATCTCAACCGTGTGGCAGAAATACCAAATAGGTGCAGAAATTGTTTGTTTGGCAATTGTATGTAAATTAGCGTTATTGTATGTTTTTCCCATTTTAAATTTCATTCCGTCTAATTGTACAGTTTTTGTAAATTCGCACACGCTGCCACGACTGCGTCACAGCTGCTTGAAATGAAAACCCTTTTCCCCACTATGCTGTAGCATTCATCACTTAGTGGAACCAGCATCATAACAAAGCTAATACAGGTTTAAATAATTCTAGCCTCAGGTATGTTCCTGTACTAGAACAGTAACAATGCTGGCTTCAGGCGTCTGATGCTGCTGTACAAGTTGAAGTCAGCTGATGCTGCCACATTGTCTGTGTAGTGCTAAGAGTGCGTTGGCTGTGTTTCAAGAGCATTTAGCATCAAAATTTGTCTTGATTCAATTCCCAGCTGCTAATTTGCTTATTATTTATTTTTTTTGTCATTAATAAAACAGACATGTGCCTTCATAATGGCTGATTCACACGCAGCAGCATGCAGCACGCTGGAATCTTTCATTAAAAATGACCACAGCAGACAGATTTTGACATTTCAGTGAATGCCCTTATCAAGATGGCGGTTTATGTGATAAACAGCCGGAGCCAAATTAGCTTTAGAAAAAGATATGGCAATAGGGCGGGGAGGTTTAGATTCATAACAATACTTCCAGGTGTGGTGCATATAGGACACTTTATTCTGAGGAATGACTTGAACATTCAGTATTAGTGTTTGTTGAAGCTTGTTGAATGTGTGTATATAATATTTGCATGTATGGAAATACAGGTCCAGTCTGAAATTTCAATAACTGACTTGCTCAGAGGTGATTCTGCAAAAATATCAAATGCACGTCTACCTTTTTCTTTTTAAGGACTCTTTTTTTTTCCTCCATATTTTTAAGCTGAATCCTAACCAAAGTTTTCTCTTCTTTTTTTCTTCTCCTTAATGCTTTTGTCTTGCATGTACATCCAGGTGAGAAGCCTCATCAGTGCAGCATCTGCTGGCGCTCGTTCTCCCTGAAGGATTACTTAATTAAACATATGGTGACACACACAGGGGTGCGAGCCTACCAGTGCAGCATCTGCAACAAGCGTTTCACCCAGAAGAGCTCTCTCAACGTCCACATGCGGCTGCACCGTGGAGAGAAGTCCTATGAGTGCTACATCTGCAAGAAGAAGTTCTCACACAAGACCCTGCTGGAGAGGCACATGGCCCTGCACAGCACAGCCAGCGCCATCACAGGGCTGCCGGTCAGTGCAGGTACCCCGGGCCCAGTCTCCATTCCCATGCCTATGGCTGTCCCTGAGCCTGGAGCTGGAGTGGTGGCCCTCGCCATGCCAGTGAGTGGAGGTGCTGGAGTAGGGGCTGGGGTTGGAACAGGAGTGGGTGTAGCTGCAGAAGCGAGTTGCCAAGAAGGGACCACCTACGTGTGCTCCGTCTGCCCTGCCAAGTTCGACCAAATGGAGCTCTTCAATGACCACATGCGAATGCATGTCTCCGATGGATAAGTACAAATAGATAAACTTCTTTCAAAAAGAATGACAAATGAAATGGCACTAGATTTTCCTTTTCTTATTTTGAGGTATGAAGAGTAATGAGTATAGACACTGGCACATTAAGTTTCCCAAAAAAAAAGATTTTTTTTTTTTTTTTTTCTGTTGTTCTAAAAGAAAAAAAAGATGGTGGCCTTAAGGCTTAGTAGTTTGATATTGATCTACTGGATGGATCCTAACTACAGGCCTCTAAATGTATGCTTTCCTAAAATACTGATTTATGTGTTGAACACTACCGAAAGGCCTACGAAAGAAACACATACACACAAACACACCTTTAGTGTAGATACGTCTGAATGAATATACATGTGCATATATGTTTGAGCGTTAGTGTATTTGCATGTGTCCGTCTGTTCGTCTAAGTGTGTGTGTGTATGTGCGTGTGTGCGTGCGTGTGTGTGTGTGTGTGGTTGTGTGTGTGTGTGTGTGTGTGTGTGTGTGTGTGTGTGTACATTGCCATGAAACATAAATCATGGCAGTCGTGAACCCATACTGACCAGTTTGGAAACTATAGATGTCCAAGCTTACTGTGGTATAATTTACAACAACAATAACAAAAAAATCACCTGGGGTTGGGCTACATATTCCCTCTAAAAAAAATACTGATGGTCACAAGATTGCCTTCTCATATAAAACAAAAAGGAGAGTAGTTAATTTGACACTGGGTTTTATTTATTCCTATGGTATTAAGGGATTATAATGCAGCTGTTGTCAAGGTACCAATTTCAATCATTTTACTCAAATGTAACTTCCTGTCAGCGGTGACGGAGGACAAATATTTCTCACATGTTTTCTAATTCTTGTCCATGCATTTTGATGGTTAATATTACGTTTACTAAATTCCGGTGTGTTGATGAGACAGTATTTGAGCAAAAATATGTTTCTTTTTTTCTGAAGTTTGGAGTTTAACTCATTTGCATACACTGCCACTAATATCTTAAAAGACTGTTAAGGCTAGTAGACCTCTTCCATTTCAAAACATGAGAAAAAAAGAAAGATTCTTTTGCTGATGGGTTTTGTTTTAGCCTTTTACATTCACAGTTTATGGCAGGCTGGAATATGCGACTAAACTCTCTCCTTCATAATTGCTGCTCCTCAACTTGCACCTGACTGTTATGGGATATAGATTAAAAAAACAAGAACTGTCACTTCAACTGTTGCTGTTGTTGAGTAGCCTATATGGTTTTAATTCGATAATTGAATTACAATATGGCGGGGTGGGGTGGGGTGGGTGGTTGCGGGGCGTTAGGCTAGTTGTTGATTGGAACAGTGTTGTAAAAGAAAAAAAGAAAAGGGGGTAATTTAATTAGAATCAAATCTGAAATTGAAATAAATGCCATCCTGATCCTAGAACCCCATGTATAACCTGTTCTCTACTATTGCAAAGCTATTTCAGCAGGTGGGAGCTAAATGCAATTACTCTTTATGCATTTCGCTCTCCCTGCAGGCTCAAATGGCATGCAACGTTTTGAAAGGAAACTGATTGAGCGATATCACACTGTTTCATGATATACCACAAGTTGCAGATGGACTTTCTAGACAATAGCATACATTCCTGATTTTTCTAACAACCTAGACACAGCATGTACAGAATAGATTTGGAAGCTAGTGTGCGCAAGTTGTCATCCATGCATCACATCACTTAAGGCTCATTTCTGATATTTAAATTCTTTTTATATTGCTTTTTATCCAAAATAGGACACACACACACACACACACACAGACACAGACACTCACACACACACATGCAACTGCCTGCAACTGCAATCTGAAGGATTTGTTCATGTATGTGAGCAAACACTTTCGTAGTTGTATTGTTAAAAGAATAACTAACTGCATACTGGGGTCTTAAAACAGACCCGCTGTCAATTCAAAAAAAAAAATAAAAATAAAGTGCTACTTTGCACATTTTTCTTAAAATGCCTGTGCTTAATATTTAATCATTTTTTTCCTTAAATGAACTTCTATGATTTTCTTTTATTCAATTTCAAAGGAAAAAAAAAACTTTTTTTTAAAAAAATCCTGATAAGTGGACTGCATTATTTTCTTGCATATATGTTGCACTGCTTAAACCAATAAGTGCACTACTGTTAACAGAGATATTATAGTTTTAGAAAAGAGGATTTTTTTAAATCTAACATTTGGTTGTAGACTTCACATGTAATAGAATAGCTTTGTTTCAATTTCTTCATTAAGTAATTCAGCAATTCTTGGCTTTCGTTATCGCTTGCAGTTACCTACAGTATATACTTGTGCCGTGTTAATGCAAGCACTTCTTTTTTATTTAAACCTGTACCATTACGTGTGCTCATCTATGTTTTAACCTTTGAATTCACTCTTCTACGGAGTCAGCTCCCTATAACAGTTTATTCGATTGCATTTCTTTAGAAACAGAGCAGAATTTTTTCCTATGAGAACATCCAAAACCAAACAACATTAACAGTGAAACGACAACAGTAATAATAAACAAAAATCCCTTCCAACTCTTGTTGGCGGTGGTAATAATAATAACTATTATTATATTATTAACAGTAATACATTTATAATGTGTGTGTGTGTAACATAAATGATATGTGTGTCCTAGAACAACTTTCTGTGGGTGTAAAGGTTGTGGGGAGGTGATGGAATGCAGCTTCTTTGATATCTGTCTGTCGGTAGTTGTGTCCCTTCCTTAGTGTTTGTATGTCTGTGAGTGTCTGTGAGTGGTATATAGCCTAATCAAATTGTTGATAAGTGGAATATCTGAACTGTAGGGCTTCCTTTGCAATATGCAGCGCAGGTACTATGAGAAGCAGCTCTCCAAACCGTTTGGGCTAATAAGGCACCTGTAACATTTGTTCTGAGATCTGACTAAAGCTTAGGTCAAGTGCTGTTGACTTCAGTTCTGTCGAGCGTTCTGACGCTAAATTTCTTGTAATTGCCAGTAGATGAAGTCAAGTGACGAACATGTGAGGCCGAGAGAGATTTTTGCATTCTAATCTCTCCTCAGCATAAAAAAAGAAAATATTGATCACACATGAGAAGAGTCCTCAGTAAAAGTAGCACATTATTGAACATTTGATTGGGCCCCGTCTCTTATGGTGTGCATATAAGCCTAAATTGTATGGTTCCTGTTTGTAGCTGTTGTTGCCAGGATGGCAATATTGCTGCATGCTAGTGCTATATTTGTCTCTACACAGCACGTGGAGGGTAATCTCATGCCTTAACAGACAATGCACTAAATAGAATATGTAAGCAACTGCCGAGATCTCTTTCCAACAGTATTGCCACATGTAATGGCGCACAGCTCATGATGTTGGTGTTCGTTGTCTGTTCAGTACCAAGTTTAAACACTGCCAAACTAACATCATCACGTCGTTCTAACAGCAAAGGCAGAGACATTAATTGAATTGTTTCCGTGTAACGTGTGTATTCAGTAATCTAGCATTCCTTCATGGCACCTAAATTTTTACATATTTTGTGTAAACACATATATCAAATGCACTATTGACTGTAGCTAGATGAGTACAACCAGCTTTGTGGTATCATTGGTCTAAATAGTAGGTTAAGTAGCTCGATGTTGGTTTTTTGAACTATTTGATTTCAGAATTACACTATCAATTGTTTCTCTATCACTTTTTTTGAAATAACAAAAAGTAGCCAATCTCAACGTTATCCGGATGAGGGCTAATAACTCGTCCCATCGTCCAGTTGACTTCTTGTATCATAAGGTGTTTCGATAGCAGACCAGGCTCGGAAGAGGGGGGGAAACCTTCTCTCCAGTGTGTCATAACGTGCTATAGCATACCCAGGCTTTTTTCCCCCCTCTCCCCTCTCTCTCTACCCCCCACCCCCTGTTGCATTAGCATCACATGCTCTTCACTGTCCATAGTTATATATTCCTTATACTGCTTCAGCTACTCGTGGTGGTGCTTAATTCTCTTTTCTTCAGTGTTGCGAGAAAAACGTCGGTTTTAAAAATTGTTGAAAAGTCGCAACACGAATCCAGAAAATAAGTCCTTATCTCAATCGTGCTTCTTCTAGTTGTTAGTCTAGACTTTATGTTTTGCAAAGTGTACGCATATTTTTCCAGAACAAAACATATTGAAAAACGTAGATACTAGCCTTGAGCCTGCAGCTGTTTGTATTGTGTTTCAAATATATTCCTGTTTATGTTTCGTTTATCTTAGTGTAGAGACACAGGGTCTACAGTACATTGTTGTCCTTCTTGCAGTAAGTTTTTTAAAAGAAAAAAAACTCATTGTTCTTGATTTCAGAATTCCTCCTGCTTTTTTCTTCTGGTGGTTCATAGTGGTTGTTGTTTATACATACATAGCTTCACGCGACTGGATTAAAAAGGATAGTCAGTTATTTTTCACGGTGTACTATATATATATGCATATATGCTTTTTGTTTTTTTGAGATGAAAACAAGGAAGATAGTAATGGTGAGGGTCAATGTTGAGTAAGGAACTGGTTTCATTTTGTCGGGATAAGCATGTTGTCTGTCTTCCTTCGTTTGTCTTTCAGTCTGTCTCCACACATTTTAAGTCGGATTTTCTTTCTTCTTTTTTTTTTGTATTTAGGCATGAATAAAGTCACAAACTACAGAAAACACATGAAACCATTCAGACGACTGCATTTTCTGTCCTTCTACAGTACACAGAAGAGTGAAATAGATAACTTCTTACAGATATACTATATATATTTTAAGTATCACCATCTCCACACAGATGAAATAATACATTTTCAGATAGTTTGATAATTGCAGCTAGAGTATACAATACCTTGTGGGATATAGGGAATATGCCTATCAAGTGCCTATCCGTACATACAGCAACTATACAGAATATTCATAGTTTTTCTCTCCTACATTGCACAAATACAGTATATACACAATGGACTATTAAAAAATATACTATTTATACTATTACTGCTAAAATAAAAAAAAAAAAACCTGGTGGTTTGTGAGTGCATCGTAAGAGAACCCTTTAAAAAATACCTGAAATGTTTTATTCATATACAGTAAAGCATCTGCGAGTTTTATTTTTTAATCGTACATTTATACCGTTTGGAGGATTCAAAGATATAAAATGCAATCACACTTAGAATGTGTACAAAACATATATCTAGTAGATAGTGATGGAAGATTAGATGTGGGATCTTGAATAACCATTTTTTTCCTTTCTTTCACGTTGCTCTCTCTCTCTCTCTGTCGTTGATAAGGCGTTTTTTTTTTTCGTTTTTCTGCCATTCTTGCAAACAAGCCATATACTACCAAGTACTGAATGTTTGGGGAGAGGGGGCAGTGGCGCCCTGTGGACAGCAGGGGGAGCCACACATCAGCTGGTGGAAGTTTAAACTCCTGCAACGGAGGGCTTTTTTTGGATGTTACTGAATTTCTTTATGGGTAAAATATTGCCCTTTTTTTTTCTTCCTCCTTCCTCCAGATTATAATAACATCTACAAGGCAGTAGTTACCTCCACTGGCACTTTCCTCTCGCTGCTTTTAGCTCCTCGGTTGGTTTCAAAGTGCACCATGTGTGCTTTGACCCCGCTGGCAGGCCCCTTCCACATGATGCAGGTCCGCTGCCCGCTTTCCCCCGCAAAGATCATTAAAGTTTTATCTTATCTCACGAGCCTTGTTGTTTATGTACAGCTTGAAATTGTAAAGGGCAAGCAACGAGCAACGGGGGGGGAAGCGAAGAAAATGGTTATTAAATCGCGAGACTGGCGAATTTTTTTGTGTGTGTTCATAACTTGGAGGCGAAATGAGATCGCAAATTCAAAGTTTTGGCAACAGATTAACGCGGCCCCCATCGCATAATGGTCTTTAAGTGGTTGGACGAGCAACATGAAAACAAAACGAAAAGAAAATATGGTGGAATAAAAAACCATAAACCAAGTTTCAGGACTGAGTGGCTGCGAGATAAAAAGGTTTTTGGGATGGCTTATTATACCGTCCCCTGTGGACTAATTACCACAGTTTTCTCTCTAACCTTATCCAGCCTTGTTACTGTGCCAAATTTAGGGCTGGTGGGGGTTGGGTGGGGTGTGGAGGGGTGGAGGGGGGCTTTTAAATTATACCACTATTGTTAAATTAGAAGTGAGAACTAAACAGATAAACAAAAAAAGTGCAGAATTATTTTCATATAACAAAACAGCGTGCGAGTGATTGCCCTCATTTTGAATCTTTAAATCCTCCATAATACATAGTTTTCAAGTAGATAGGAGAAAACAGCTATGATTAACAAATACACAGTTACTCTCATAGACCTTTAATGTTCAAATAAAGCATTGAAAAGAAGATAAATATATAGGCAATGTGATATAGCTAGTCCCTGTCATCCAACCGTCACACTATGACGTGCTCAGAAACAGCATCTGTTCACGTTTTTACAGTCAAACATCCAGATTCTTACAAGCAGCTGTTCAGATTCTACAGTACAACACAGCTATACTAAGCTATGAAACATCCAGATTATATTCACTATGACGCTTTCTCCGAACATGCAGTTATTACACTAACCCTGGTGAGGTTTTTTTTTTAAGTTAAATAATGAAATCATCAGGTGACTACCATCGATCAGTCCAAATGAAGCATGCAGTCCTGTCTACACAGCTTTTTTGTTTTTTCCTTTTTGTTTTTGACGGAGCACAAACTGTATTTTGAGTGTCCCCTTGATAACAGGCGTTCGGTATCTTTCGGTTATCGCGGTGACGAGGGGCGCGTTTTTTTCTTTTTTTTGTGTGTGTGTGTGTGTTTTATTTTTTAAAGCCTCTGAAGACGAAACACTCGAGCCTCTTTGTGTTCTCAGTAGTCTTTTTGACTTAGTTCGGCTTGATGAGTTTTAAGTTTCAAAAAATAAAAACAAAAAAAAGAAGAAGAAGAAGCGTGCAGCAGCGTAATTTAAAAAGAGATAAAAAAAAATGC